TTATATACCGTGTATGGTTGCTTTTGTGCTACAACAGCAGTGCTAGTAATTGCAAGAAAAAGCTAAAAATATTTACTATCTGGTCCTTTACAAGAAAAGCTTGCCAACCTCCGTCTTAAAGTAATGATTTTAAACTAATAATAAAAAGAAACATAAGAATGAACTTTTTGGGTCATTCATGAAAATATCTGACATAACTAACCCATGTACCAACAATATCGCTATCTAAATATTCAATAACTTGGCTACTTTGGTTCGTAAACTTTTAAGAGTGAAGAGATTAAGCACAGTATTCATGGAAATATGGCCAACACTTCAAATACTTTCTTTTTTTTATAAGCTTTTAGTAATGCTTCCAATTGTTAGCACAGCTGATTTTAATTATTAAACACACAAAACAAATTGCTATTCTGCTGTAATTATTAGGCAGGATGAACTAAAAACCACAATGCAAAATCAGCATTTCCATAGCAACCTGTACTTCCATTAGCCCCACTGCACATAGGTAGGAACTGACATTGCTTTGTATATTAAGAAAAATCACCTCCATTAAATAATACAAGAAAAACAAACAACGATTTGCTTAGATAAAAATAACACACCTGTCAAGATATTAACACAACACTGCTACAAATTCAATAATATGTAAATTGGTCAATAAAAACTTTTTTTAAAAGTCTGGATTGAATGTATATCAGTTGCACATTCAATAGTTTATCTAATTTGTAGGTTTATTAATGCTACCAGTTCCGGTTGATTTCTGCTGAAATTATTGGGTAATAGCTAAATCATATAGAAACCAAAACAAAGAGCATATATTTATAAATAATGTAAAAAATGAATGAAAGGTGAGGAATAAACATTTAATGAGTACCTACTGTCTATCCTAGTAAGACCTCTCATAAATCGATTTTAATAGGAATGGATTTATATAACTATTTAATTCAAAACGTCATTTTATAAAATTGGGACATTATTTTCTAAGTCAGAACTTTCTATTTCAGCTAACAGAGACTGGAAACAGAAATTTTAAGGGTCAAATATCACTGGTAAATTTTTACAGTATTCTAGCTTCTACAATGTTCTAGCTTAGTGAACTCCAATTTAAAAAAAAAAAATCAAAGATGTAAATGTTTAGGGAAAGTAATGAAGATGCAAGGATTGCCAAATCGGCCAATATTAAATAAACAATCCTATACAATACAGTAACCCCTCTTTATTTGTGGTTTCACTTCCCATGGCTGCAGTCACCTGCAGTCAACTGTGGTTGGAAAATTTCAGAAATAAAAAATTCATAAGTTTTAGATTGTGTGGCATTCTGAGTAGTGTGATGAAATATGCTGTTCTCCTCCATTCCCTCCAGGGGATGTGAATCAGCCCTTTGTCCAGCACATCCATGCTGTGTATGCTGCCTACCTGTCCATTTAGTTATTCAGTAGCCGTTTCAGTTATGACTGACTGTTGCAGTATGAAAGAGTTTGTTTTCAAATAACCCTTATTTCACTTAATAACAGCCTTAAATTGCAAGAGTAGCAATGCTGGCTTATTGTTATACTTGTTGTATTTTATGATTACTGTTGTTCATCTCTTACTATATCTATAAATTATACTTTATAAGTTAAACTTTATCACAGGTATGTATGAATAGGGTCTGGTATCATCCACAGTTTCAGACATCCACCTATATTCAAGTGAACATCCCACCTCAGCTTCCTGATTGTTTGTTTTTTGTAGAGATGGGGGGTCTCACTTTGTTGCCCAGACAGGTCTTGAACTTCTGGCCTCAAGTGATCCTCCCACCTTGGCCTCCCAAAGTGCTAGGATTACAGGTGTGAGCCACCACATCTGGTTCTTGTTCATTTTTCTACTACCAAATTTAAGAGCTTACCTACATCTATATACTAACACTAATACTCTGCCATTCCTCCTTATATAATTGGTGCATGATAATCAGCTCCTTTCTAAGGTCAATTCTTCTCAATTTCACTCTTGAACCCAACATAATCAGGCTTTTTTCCTTATTGGGAAAAAAAAAAAAACACCCATACTTATTAAAGTCACCAGAAACCTCTACACTGTCAAATCCAGTGGCCATTTCCCATCTTCAAAGATTTTCCACACCCCTCAGAAGCAGCTGGCACAGTCATTCACAACATCCCTGTCTGAAACACCACACCCTTGGTTTTCCTTGTACTTTACTGGCTACACTTCCCAGTTTTATTTGCTGAATCCTTTCTGTCCTCTCCAGGACACAGTCTTCAGATTCTCCTCATTAATCACTTCTTCAATCCCATTGCTTTAAATACTATTTAAATGCTAACACATCCAAATCTATATGGGAAAGCCAGCATCTACCCAGAACTCTGGGGCAGTCGGCCCACATTACCATGTGACTGGGCATTTCATAATTCACATGTCCACAACAGCATTCTTGATTCCCCCCAGTCCCCAAATGTGTCCCTCCTGCAATTTTTCCCATTTCAGTAATATGGCACCAGCAATGCCCCATATCCTGACATTTTCACCAGTTTTACCATCATAATCCATCTATGGCTCTATCTGAACTAACATAATATTCTCCTCCTAAGTGATCTCCTGCTTCCACTTCTGCTTCTCTCCAATGCCTTCTCAAAAGAGAAGCCAGAAAAATGCTGTCAAAATATAATTCAAATAATAACACAGCCTTGAAACAATAACAAAAAAAAAAAAACACCCTTCAAATGGTTTCCCATCATTAAAACAAATGCTAAAGTTCTCCATTTGTTTGAGGCAGGCCTGCAAGACCCTACCTCAGCGGTTCCCAACCTTTTTGGCACCAAGGACCAGTTTCATAGAAGACAATTTTTCCACAGACAGGGTGGCATGGGCAGTGGTGGGGGTAGGTGTTTTCAGGATGAAACTTCCACCTCAGATCAACAGGCATTAGTTAGATTCTCACAAGGGGGTGTGCAACCTAGATGCCTCGCATGTGTACTTCACAATAGGGTTTGGGCTCCTATGAGAATCTAATGTTGCCACTGATCTGACAGGAGGTGGAGCGCAGACAGTAATGCTTTGCTGGCTCACTCTGCTCATCTCTTGTTGTGCGGCCCAGTTCCTAACAGGCCACAGACCAGTACCCAACCGTGGCCCGGGGATTGGGGCCCCCTGACCTAAGTAATCTGACTCCTGTCTCCTATCTCATCTCTACTTCTCTTTCTCTTCCTCCCTTTACTACCAATAACATTTGTCTTTCTGCTGTCTTTTGATGTTCTCCAAGCTTGTCTCTGCTTCAGATCCTTGGCTGTTTCTTCTACTTGAAATAATCTTCCCTCAGATATTTACATGGACCTCTTGCTCACTTTTTTCAGTCTGATGAAACATTACCTATACAGAAAGGCTTTCCCTCAACACTCTGTTGAAAATATCATCTCAGCTCCTTCTACTTCGCTTGATTTTCTACAAAACCATTTTCAATTTTGTAATATATTATTTGTTACATGGTTTATATATTTGTTCACTGTCTTTTTCATCCACTAGAAATATAAGCTCCTGAGGGCACAAACTTTGACTTAATTGCTTCTCTGTATCCCTCAACTAAAATGGTATCTGGCACAAAACAAGTGTTCAATGACAATTGCTGAATTGATAAATAGCTATTGCAATTTTTAAGAAGGATTTTTCTCTTGTACATAAACTTGAATGGTTTATAAGATTGCTAAAACTATTTAATTCAGACTCCATATACAGTGGTACCACTTCTGAAAAGGAAACTAATAAAAATATGTCTTCCTTCTTTCTGCATTAAAATTCCAGACCCTAGGAAATTTCTGGCATTTTTTCCAAAATAAATAGAGGTATATTATCTTAATAGGCTAAATGTAAGATTTCAAGTAACTCTTGGTGATAGGTACAAAAGCCATTTCCATTTAAATTCAATTTCATTTTATTGCCCTCTTCCCCAGCACACACATATACACAGAGATACCTTGGTTACTTTATTTTAGTTTTCATTAAGTTTAGTTTTTTTACTGGGTAACATACATAATTATGTTAATATTAAAAGTTAAAAAATACAAGATTATAAGTCTGACAAGGTATACAGTTAAAGGTCTCCCCATCCCATGTCTGTATCTCAGTGACTCAGTTCAAACTTCCACTACCAAAAAGTAACCATTGGTATTATAGAGTGGAAGCTGGCCATTTTTTTTCTGTAAAGAGCCATACAGTAAATATTTGCAGCTTTATAGACTATCCACTCTCTGTCACAACTACTCAATTCAGCCATTATAGAGTGAAGGCAGCCTTACATAATATGTAAATGCATGTATATAGTTGTAGTTCAATAAAACTTTATTTGCAAATATAGGGAGTAGGCTGAATTTTTCTCATGGGGGTCACAGTTTGCCAAAACTTGTTACAGAACAGTTTAAATACAACATCTATTTTATAAAAAAAATGCTAAAGGTAGTGTTGAAAGAGACTTCAGTGGAAGAGACTGCCACAAAGAATGCTATTTGAAACAAAAATTCATAATACCCATAATGATGTGTTATAATAATTTATATTTTCATATAGATTTAGGACTATTCCCAAATGACTCTCCATAATTCATAATATATTAATCCAAATATTTTCTTCAACCTCTTCATGGGACAATTATGAAGAACTGGAAGAACATTAAGACAAGGCAGACTGGTCACCTAATGAACAGTGTACTGCCAATCATTAACTCTGGCTTAAAATTTTCTCTTAAAGGGCAGATTAAATACGTAATTAAAATCTCCACAGAATGCATTACAGAAATAAACCATAGTCTATATTTAAAAACAAAATTTCAAATGTCTGTTTCTCAACCAGATTAATTCCAAAATGTATGTTTCTAATAAGTCATACAAAGGATTTAATTTAATAAAATGAACCAAGATTAGAAAGAACCAAATCTCTCCAAAAAGCAGAATGCTGTTACACTGAATAACCTGATTCTCAAAATTCAAAGGTATGCTAGGAATATATCTTACCTTAGATGCCATTCTCATAAAGAGCTTGCTTTGATTTTCTGCTGTTCCCATCTTTTCATTTTTGACTAAATCATTTAGGCTTAAATTATCATCATCGTGAAAGTATCTGACCCTTTCTTTTTCCTCATGGGTTGAAACCTATGACAAAATGAACATTATGAATTTAATGAAAACACAAGTCTCTGAGGTATTTCTTAATGGATTACAGAAAAATCTAATGTTAAATATAAAAATCCCATTATATATCACAACCTTTCCTTCCAGTTTATCCCTAATCTACCAGCTTCCATGTTAAAGAACTTCCATTAGAATTACACTCCCTACTTCTGCCTCTTTCCTCTCCTCTTCCCCAGGGATGGAAAGAAGCATGATACTATCTGATTTCTGAGTTTTGATGAAACAGCAAAACTGTTCTATCCCTTCTTCTCTCTTTTCTGCTCTTCTTCTCCTTATGGTTAAAATTTCTTACCACTGTGGTGGGAAGACTGAAGTTATCCAGACATGGAGTAAGTATATCAAAAACAGAGGTGAATTATTAGCAAATCCACTGCTATGAACTTAATGATTATGTTGCCCCAAAATTCACAGGTTGAAATCTCAATATGAAGGTATTAAGAGGCATGGTCTTTGGGAGGTAACTGAGTTCTGATCATGAAGTCCTCAGAAATGAGATTAGTGCCTGTGATGGTTAATACTGAGTGTCAACTTGATTGGACTAGGTATTGTTCCTGGGTATGTCTGTGAGGGTATTGCCAAAGGAGATTAACACTTGAATTAGTGGACTGGGAGAGGCAGACCCATCCTCAATGTGGGTGGTTACCATCTAATTAGCTGCCAGTGCAGCTAGAAGTTGAAAGGACTTGACTCGCTGAGCCTTCCAGCCTTCATCTTTCTCCCATGCTGGCTGCTTCCTGCCCTTAAACATAAGACTTCAACTTCTTCAGCTTTTGGACTCTTGGATTTACACCAGTGGTTTGCCAGGGACTTTCGGACCTTCAGCCACAGACTGAAGGCTGCACTGTCGGCTTCCCTACTTTTGAGATTTTGGGACTTGGGCTGGCTTCCTTGCTCCTCCATTTGTAGACGGCCTATCGTGGGACTTTAACTTGATATTGTGTGAGTCAATACTCCTTAATAAACTCCGCTTCATATATACATCTATTCTCTTAGTTCGGTCTCTCCAGGGAACCCTGATTGATACAGTACCTCTATTAAAAGACATGAGAGTTTGTTCTCTCTCCCTCTTCTCTCCGCCATGTGAGGATACAAGAAGACTATCATCTACAAACCAGTAAGCATGCCTTCATCAGACAACGAATCTGCCAGCACCCTAATCTTAGACTTCTCAGACTCTAGAACTGTCAGAAATAAATTTCTATTATTTAAGCCACCCGGTCTATGTTATAGTAGCCCAAACTAAGGCACCTACTTCTAATTACTAAACCCTTGTTCTGTAAACAGCTTTTATCAAAGCAAAGCTGAGATTCTGGTGTCCATTTAATTTAGTCCCAGATGTTCCTTTCAGTTGGTTCCATACATCCAGGTGTGAAATAGAAAAATACTATTTATTTCCTCCCAAATTAAATCTTTGCAATGCTGCTCTCACATTACCTTATCCAAATAAAACCCTATCTTTAACCTCTTTGAGATCTTTGGAACAGGGGTGCAACGACGTTTCCCAACATTACTATTCTTGTCTTTACAACTTAAATCTCATATCCCATGACTTCAATCACCCCCTGGCTCCACACACTTAATTTCTGGCCCTCTTGTCTTTTCATTACACTCAAAGAGCAAACTCTAATCCTGAATGAAAGTGTCTACCTTCTTTACTCCCATACCTAGAATGCTCAGTAGTATGCAACTCAAAAAGGACCCTCAATGTCTTCCGACAATGCATTTATGGATCCCTAGTCAGTTCCATCATTTCATATAATTCAAACCTTTACTATTCTCTCCTGTACCTCTCCAAGCACCAAATTCCTCCCATTACATTAGAAGACATATCTATTCCACTCCTATTTGTTGAATTAATTAATTAGAACCTCTAGCAACACAGGCACTCAAAAGGCAAAAAATAAACATTTGACAGAAATATTCTGAATGAACAGTTCTTTTGTGTATGCAATCACCACTTGTCTGATCTTCCAAATTTAAAATAAAAAACCTAACTTGGGAAAGCTGACTACGTTGTTTTTGCCATCTAAAAGGCCTCAAGGTAGTGCTAAAAACTAATTGCTAGAGTTGGAAAATGGAACAGAAAATTAGGTTTATAAAGGATCATGGCACCTACATAATTAAGCCATTACTGTGTATGGATACCCCATCACCAGGTCTCAGGTTAGCTGTCTAACACTAGTAACAGCTCTGGTTTTCCCTCCCTGAGAGCTATAGCAAGTATGCCAAAAGCAGCTGAAAACAATATCAAAGAAATGTACACTAAAATTAAAATTCTCTTAAACATTCAATGTTAACAACTATTTGAAAAAACATAGCTGGATTAGTTTCCATTCTGTAAAAGGCAAAGAGATATAACTAAATAAAAGCAATAACATCATTTACTATCTTCCAATATTGGCATTTGAAGGCTACATTTCAGAAAATATTTTGCAGTCTGATACAAAAAAAGCCCCAAGGGAAAGAAGGAATTCTGAATTAATAAACAAAGACATATGTTAAACATACCATCTGTCTCTTTCTTCTTCCTCCTTGTGATTCCAGAGATTTTCCTGGTGTGTTCACAGGCCATACTCTACCAGACGGATCTGTTCGGACAAGGATTACTTCTTGCTGGTCTTCATTCTGTAAAAAGATTGAGATAACTATTGAAATTATTGTGAAGAAAGCTGAATGTTTTTATTTAATAACAAAAAAAAGCATTAAAATGATTTAAGTTTTCACATAATATTGTAGATTGCCTTAAATCTCTTGAATTTTCATTATTCTCTATACTGTAAAATGACCATAATCATTATACAGTGTGAAAAATATCCAATGTTTTAGTATTTTTTAAAAAGCAATCAAGAAAAGAAAATTTCAAATAAAAGTTTTCATCTAGACAATATTAAAAGATGACGATGTATCAACAGTACATGTAGCATTGTATGAGAATGCTCATCACTTATGCAGCGGATGTAATGTTTAACATCTTTTTAAATTTAAAAGATCCTATTAAAAGTTGATTATAAGAAATAAAGCAATGACAGACAAACTTGCTAAACTAGCAAATATAATAATACTACATGTAACTTCTATTCTTCCTATTAACAGCCTTTGAATACCTTTCAGTTTTCTGACTCTTCAGAAGTAATTATATCCCACATACTTTCAAGCCATAATATTTTTCCTACAAACTTTTCGCCAAGTATAAGCCTGGCACAGTACAGAGTAAGGGTAAACTTTATTCTATGATGGAAATGGAATGTTATTGGAAGGATTCTAATAATCAATAAGGAATATTAGGGAATGACAAAGGAAAATAAATTATTATATCGAAAAGACACCTGGACTCAAATGTTTATCACAGCACTATTCACAACAGCAATGTCATGGAATCAACCGAAGCATTCACTAATGGATGACTGAGTAGAGAAAATGTGGTGTATATGCCCTGGAATACTACACAACCATAAAAAGGGAAACATCTTTCACAGCAGCATGGATAGAACTAGAGGCAATTATCCTAAGTGAAATAACTAAGAAAATCAAATACTGCATGTTCTTACTTAAAAGTGAGAACCAAACAATGGGTATACATGGACCTAAAGAGAACAGACACTATAGTCTCCAAAAGCGAGGAGGATGGAAAGGGCGTAAAGATTGAAAAAATTGCCTATTGGGGATAACGTTCACTATTCAGGTGATGGGTAAAACAGAAGCCCAAACCTCACCATTACACAATATACCCCTGTAACAAACCTGCATATGCAACCTCTAAATCTGTTTTTAAAAATTAAAAACAAAAATAATATTAAGGAATAAATTCATTAAAAATCCATTTGACATAAGACCAAGCAAATTATTCATATTTTAGTTTTATTCTCAATCAGAATCAAATGTAGGAAAAAATCAATCCCAATTTCATTTAATAGATGTTAGTTCCCCAGCTGAAATGGAAGAAAAATAATACATATCTATTCTTGATCTTACATTCAAACACAATACTAAATTGATACCAAAGATTATGATTACTTTTCTTCCTCAATACATAAATGAACATTGATTAATGAAGTGCCATCTTTTAAAAGATCTTTTTACTCACCCCCTTACCAGATAGTAGAGATTGGCAACACATTATAATCTGGCTTCTAACTTTACCTTACTGATAAAGCTGGTGTCCCTAGGGACTTTCAAATTACTAAGTCCAATACATAATTAATAAATTATCATCTTCTCTGATTTGAAAGCACTTGGTTCTGTTTATTACATTTTCTAGCCTGAAATTCTTATTCCACTTTTAAACACTCTACCCTCTCCTGGTTCTGCCTTTACCTCTTTGACCCGATTCACTCATTTATTCATTCATCCATTTACTCATTCATTCACCAAATATTTCTGAAATGTCTATTTTATCTTAGGAGTAACAAGAAATATAGCCCCTGCCTTCTATAAGCCTATGGCCTAGTGGGGAAACTACTCCCCACATGAATTATTAATGTAAACAAAGTCACCTTCACTTTCTCCTCCATTTCCAGCTACCCCTCAAATGCTGATGATTCTAGGGTTTCTTGGTTTCTACTCTTCTGCCTGAAACCTAATCAATTTGTTAAACACAAATATAATCATGCTATTCTTCGCCTAAAAATCTTCAGGAGCCATTTTTCACCTAGAAGATCAATACCACTCCAAGTATGCCCCACAGACCATTACAAGTCCAAGAATCACTAGCTATTAAATATTTGTTACTAATCCATGATAGGTAAGTACAGAAACTGAGTGTTTATAAACATTTATAGCAATTGTATAGAATTAATATGGTTTGGCTCCATGTCCCCACCCAAATCTCATCTTGTAGCTCCCATAATTTCCACATGTTGTGGGACAGACCCGGTGGGAGATGACTGAATCATGGGACAAGTCTTTCCTGTGCTGTTCTCGTGATAGTGAATGGGTCTCACAAGATCTGATAGTTTTAAAAATGGGAATTTCTCTGCACAAGCTCTCTCCTTCCCTGCTGCCATCCACATAAGATGTGACTTGCTCCTCCTTGCCTTCCACCATGATTGTGAGGCCTGCCCAGCCATGTGGAAATATAAGTGCAATTAAACCTCTTTCTTTCATAAACTACCTAGTCTCGGGTATATCTTTTACAGAAGCATGAAAACAGACTAATACAAGAATCATTTTATGTTGGTTCAGTCTAAATTAAAACTTGGGACTTTATTTCATGTATCTTTATTTCATCTTTCTGTGATTAATTTTTATTGTATTTTATAAAACTCTTAATCCATCATGGTCAGTAAAATTTTAAAATATATATAAACAACCCCGATCCTACACCAGTCTAAATAGTAATACGTAATGAAATAACGGTAAAGCATTTTCACACAGTATACAAAGCCTTCAAATTTGGGCCCTAGACTTTTCTAGCTCCTTGTAATTTTTGTAAATGTAATGTAAATTTTATTTCCTCTGTATGCAACAATTATCCCTTCTTGCTCAACTAGGAAATTAAGAATTTAGTCACAGCCAATGTTCTGTTCCCAATAATTTTAGGCATATGTATGTTGCTAGAGTGTAATCATTTCAGTAACTATTTGTCTATTTATATTTATCAGTCTTTACAGGACAAAGACTAAGCTATATACTACTTGGTATCTCTAGGACCTGTCACAGTGTAAAACAATAATGGGGATTCAATAAATGCTTGATAAACGTCATTAACAAACTGGTGCCTCAGAGAGATTAACTGTACTTGCAAAACTAACCCACTTTCCCCTTTAGTCAGCTCTTTCCTCCCTTTGCTGACTTTCTGTTCCTTAGGACTGCCAATACAGAAGATCCCATGTTGCTCCATTTTGGGTACCAAGACAGAATGCATTCTAAACATCTACATGGCTTTAAAATACAAGACAAAAATGAGAAGTTCACTCTACACAGAAAATATGCAAAAACATTTTCATCATCCGTGTAATTCTGTAATATATCTCAAAAGAAAGTAGAAACACTTCTTCATATAACTAAAAAGCATTTACAAAATCTTTCCATTTTCATAAGAATGCCAAATGCTCCAGGTTTTTAAATTATCCCCAACAATTATAATTTGCTCTGGAGGACTTTATATTTTAAAAACATCAAAACTGATAATTTATTAAAGCATTTTATATAGATACTTTAATTAACAAATCCCAAAATGCTCTGGAACCTTTACTCATTAACTCATAAAAGAGCTTCCTGGCTGACAAAAATCATGGATTCTTATTTTAAAAGAAGAAAGGAGAAAACAAACACTTTATATAAAGCTACAAAATCAATTTGTTAACATAACCAGAATAAATCTTCCTATTGGTATCTACAATATTTGTGAGATAATAAATAATTTTCTCCCACAAGTGTATATCATTTTTATAGTAATAAAAAATTGAGGATTCAGGAGATTGTGGCAGACACAAGGCAGGAGTAGACTGTAGCTCTAGAGAGAGCATCATGCAGAGGCTTGCACTGTGAATTTTAGCTTTAGATTGAATGTAAGAACAAACCAACAATCCAGAGAGGATCCATAGACCCTCTGAAGGAGCAGACTGCTCCTGTAAGACCCGGGAGACACCCCAAATACTGTGAGTGTCCCAACTGTGGAAGTGGGAACACACTTCCTCCCAAACACATACCCCCACTGGAGAAGCTGAAGGTCTGTTTGCAGGAGAGGTTTCTGACTTTACCTGGAACTGAGTCAAGTTAGAGAGCCAAGTGAAATACAGAGGTACAGGAAGCAGCTGAAAGGCCCTGGGAGCTCACTGGGTCCCCAAACAGCCCATTCCTGCCTGGCACCACAGGGACCCATCAGAAGGGTGGTCAGAGAAGCCAATGGTAAAACTCCACAGGGAAAAGAAATTACCTAGCTGAACTTTATAAACAGTTTGAACAGGGTGAGAACCCTCTTGGCCAGAACTCGGAGGAATACATGAATCCGGTGTACACACTTCATAGGCGGGGGAAGAACTAAAGCCCTTTTCTCTTGCAGCTAGAAGGCGGATATCCTCTGGCAAGTTTTCAAGCCCAATTTGCCCTCAGCCTGGAAACAGATATGGCACTGTTGGTGGGGGGTACAGTGAGAGGGTGACTGGCCCTTCAGTTTGCGTGTGAGCTGGGTGAGGCCCGTGACGCCGGCTTTCCCCCACTTCTCTGACAACCTGCATGACTCAGCAGAGGCAGCAATATCCTCCTAAGTAACACAACTCCAGTGACCTGGGAATCTCAGCAGCCCCAGCAAGACCCACCCACGGAGAGTCTGAGCTCAGACATGCTTAGTCCTGCCCCAACCTGATGGTCCTTCCCTATCTACCCTGATAGTGGAAGACAAAGGGCATATAATCTTGGGAATTCTAGAAGCACATTCACCACCAGTCCCTCTCCACACTACTATAGCTGATGGTCTCTGGAAAGTGCCACCTCCTGTCAGGAGTCGAACCAGCACAAAAATAGAGCACGAAACCACCAAAGCTAAGGACCCTCACAGAGTCCACAGCACCCTCCGCCACATCCACCAGAACAGGCACTGGTATCCACAGCTGAGAGACCCATAGATGGTTCACATCACAGGACTATGTGCAGACAATATCTAGTACCAGCCCGATGCCAAGTAG